TAATACAGTTGGATGCTGCATTGTTTTCTTTATAGTTTACGTTTACGTCGTGGTGTCACCCCCCCCCCCCCCCCCCTCTTGATATAATTTTCGATTTGTACTTAGAAGACTATTTAACTTTAACTAATGGACCTGGAAAATGGCATTTCATTCTATAAATTTTACAATTTTTTGCCTTTGGTGTCACCCCCCCCCCCCTAAATGGTGTCACCCGTTGCGGTCCGCACCCCCCGCCTCGCCTACGCTACGCCTCTGCGTTAGGCTACAGAGGAGTTAAACGAAGAGATCAACTTCTACTTACGATGGATATTTTTTAATATATAAATATTCTGAAGGCAACATTTTGTATTTTATATGTCCTGATTTTGTATTTATACTATACTAGGCATGCTGCCCAGCTTCGCTTAGGCTTTCGAAAACATTGAGAATTTGAATGCTTAATTAATTCGCCCGAAGGTCGGTCTACGACCTCAAGAGTTATGAAGAGGTTCCTCCGTGGACATTTTTTTTCGATTTATAGCTCATATAAGGTACCGGTCAGTCGAGGTCAGTTTTGACCCCCACATCGTAGACTTTTCGGCCAACCGGCCCCCGTGTTCTGTCGCATCAAGGCAAGATCATGCCAAATTTGAAGCGCCTGCGGCGCCGGGAAGTGCCCTATCGGACACCCGACAATCTAGATCTAGATCTAGATTTCTAAAAGAATTTTTTTTTAAGTTTAGCCCGAGCATAATAAAAAATAATACATTAACCAAGTTGACTTGCTGTGTCTCGAACCCGCACCACCTGCGTGGTTTAATGTACATTAACATCTCCGCTATTTAGGCACCTTATAAAATACGGAGAATGAAACACGTATTTTAAAATCTTAACTTACGCGAATATGCCTATTCTTTCAAATTAATTTTTTATCCCAAATTAGCCAGTTCCAAACAAAGATTTTGTATAAAATAAATAAGTCTTGAAATAGTTTAGTCCTAATATAGAAATTTATTTTTGGAATTGATTTTAGAGAAGTTAGAGTCTAAATCTAGATCTTAGCGTCTACGTCTAGATCTAGTTATTGCGTAGATTTAGATTTAGATTTAGTCTAGATCTAGAATCTCTAGATCTAGAATCCAAATAAATAAAATAAATTTTATGAGTTTAGGCCGGAAAAATTGTATTGTATACATTTCATAGTGTACGTAGATCTAAATCAAATTTGAATGAAATAGTTCATTTCTTTTCATTCAAAACACAGCAGATGACGTCATTAGTTAATGTATAAGCAATAGCGACGTCACAGTTTTATGCGTTCTTTTTCATATGTATTAATGCTTTTCCGGTTGCATAAATAATACTGTTTCTCTACATTCGAATACGCCTTTAATTTTTATTTTTCTTCTTTAAGTAAAATTGTGGTTATACATTTAAAACATCTAACATATTATTTTCAACAAAAGTCCGTAAAAAGTTCTCCATATATCGCTGCCGATTCTGACGTGATGTCCGGCGAAAATTTTTTGCGGACAGAGAAAGAGAGAGAGAGAGAGAGAGAGATGTGCGCACATTGGGCTTTTATAAATTAGGACTAGGCATGCTGCCCAGCTTCGCTTAGGCTTTCAAAAACATTGAGAATTTGAATGCTTAATTAATTCGCCCGAGGGTCGGTCTACGACCTCAGGAGTTATGTAGAGGTTCCTATGTGGACACATTTTTTTCGATTTATAGCTCATATAAGGCGCCGGTCAGTCGAGGTCTGTTTTGACCCCCTCATCGTAGACCTTTAGGCCAACCGGCACCGGCCCCCGTGTTCTGTCGCCCCAAGGCAAGATCCTGCCAAATTTGAAGCGCCTGCGGCGCCGGGAAGTGCCCGATGTCAAGCACCCAACAACTTTGCTTCATATATTATTGAGATTAGCAAATTGCATAGATAAACAAAGAATTCCAAAGTAGTTCCTTTCTTTATAGTCTAAAATAGGAAGATTCACATATTTAAAAAAAAATAGATTTGACTTGGTGTGTCTCGATCCAGCACCACCTGTCTGGTATCAAGTACACTATCATCTCAGCTAATTAGGTACCTTTTAAAATATGGAGAATATAAGAAGTGTTTAAAAATATAACTTACACGAATATACCTATTTTTTCAAATTATTTTTTTACCCAAAATTAGCCAGTTTCATTGCTAAACAAACACAGATTTCTGTAAAATATTTAAGTCCGGAAAAAGTTTATTATAGAAATTTATTTTTGGAATAGATTCTACGGTAGATAGAGTCTAAATCTAGATCTAGAATAGATCTTAGCGACGTAGCGTCTAAGTGTAGATCTAGTTTTTGCGTAGATTTAGATCTAGTCTAAACTCGGAAGATGACGTCATCAGTTTCGTGCTCTTGTTTTAGTGTTTTAGTGTAAACAATAAGCGACGTCATTGTTAAATGCGTTCTTGTCTCAAGTTTATATACACTTTTCCGGTTGCATAAATAATACTGTTTCTCTATATTCGAATACGCCTTTAATTTTTATTTTTCTTCTTTAAATAATTTTGTGGTTATACATTTAAAACATCTAACATATTTTTTTCAATAAAAGTCCGTAAAAAGTTCTCGATATATCGCTGCCGATTCTGACGTGATGTCCGGCGAAAATTTTTTGCGGACAGAGAAAGAGAGAGAGAGAGAGAGATGTGCGAACGTGGGGATTTATATATTAGGATTATTATGCTTGCCTACTACTGCTAAAAAGTTTATTTATAGGCTGATTCTCTCAATGTCTTGCACGACAAAGTGATATAGCCTGTAGTATTATTATAACGATTGGGCTCTGTTTGACCCACAAACACTGAATCCCACTGCCGAAACGGTGGGGGGGGGGGGGGGGGGGGGGGCTTTTTGGAACTTTTAACCTTTTTCTTTTTTAAAATTATTTATATGTAACAAATATTAAAATTCCATTGTAAAAATTTTAATTTTTTATGAGGGAAAAGGGCCCCTATGTGCCTTAGGCCCCCATGCCTTGCTTACGCTAGCTTTACGGTAGCTACGCCACTGTGTCAGTGGTCCTTTTGTCTGGAGCCAAATTGACAGGAGCCTTTTTGTCGGGAGCCAAAATGACGCTAGCCCATTTGTCGGGAGTCGTAATGACGGGGGCCGTTTTGTGGAGAAACTAAATGGCGGGAGCCTATTTGTCGGGAGTCGTAATGACGGGGGCCGTTTTGTGGAAAAAACTAAATGACGGGAGACTATATGTCGGGAGCCAAAATGACGGGAGCCTATTTGTCAGGAGCCTTATTGACTGGAGCCCTTTTGTCGGGAGCCTATATAACGGGAGCCTATTTGTCGGTAGCCTAAATGACGGGAGCCTATTTGTCGGGAGCCTATATGACGGGGTCCATATGTCGCTGGCCCTTTTGACGGGGCCGATTTGACGGGGTCGTTTTGACGGGGTCGTTTTGTCGGGGTCGTTTTGACGGGGCCGTTTCGTCATTGGCCGAATTGACGCCGCACGATATATATATATATATATATATATATATATATATATATATATATATATATATATATATATATATATATAATTATGTTCTATAAACACGATATTTTGGTTACACTAAACGTCACAATTAGAGTTAGGTTTTAAAAATCTATTCTAGTTTAGTTTTATACTAAAATTAAGTCAACGTTATATTGATACGAATTTAACATGGCCTTTTGTTTAGATTTAGTGCAGGATTAAAGGTTTACGCCGGGGGTTTTAAGGTTAATTTCTAAAACGGATGTAACACGTTAGAATTAATTTATCACACGCGCGCAATCGGCCTATTAAGCCACAGGTTTGAGGCCCCCAGCTACCCCCCCCCCCCCTTTAGAGACACACATGAAACGCACCAAACCCTTGCCTCAAATCAATACACTAGGCTAAAAATAAAATTGATTTTTTTATACAATGAGCAAGCAAGTGCCCAGTTTCGATCTCAGCCCATTCCCCCCCCCCCTCTCTTTTTACAGAAAGGTTGACAGAAAGAGGACGGTCTTTTACAAAGGGCGGGTTTGGTGGTGGTGGGGGTGTATTGGAGTGGGTGGGTGGGGGTGGGGTGAGACAGGCAGATGTTTGACCCAGATTCTAAACACCAGGGTGTCCGAGGATTTCGGGAGCAAAATAAAATTTTGTGACGTTTTATCTGTCCATTTTCTATTAAAGAACTGTTCGGGAACTTTCTACGTTTTAAGGCTGAATTATTTGACAGAAATATATTTTAAAATATTACTTGTTATCATTCCCATAATTTGGCGTGTTTCTCATATTTATAATTTAATAAAAAAAAAAATAATAGCGATTTAAAGTTATTTAGCTTTCTCTGAGAAAGCTTATTTTTTCTGAGCGTTGGACTAGTCCTAATATAAACTTACCAAGGATAAGATTTTAATTCAACTTGCACCTAAGCCGTGATTTTGATTAATAACTTAAAGCTGTCTGATTAATCTGCCTTTTGAAAAAAAATTAAAGTCTTCATATCACTTCTTCAGAACGGGACTGTTTGAACTCAACTTATTTTTTCGAGATTTATACCGCATTTTATCCTACACATACTGAGGTATCATTGTTGAAAGAATTGGGACCATATCTCCCACAATTATCTATATCACACAAAAATTACATTTCATGAAGAACGGAATACAGAAATGTTAAAAAAACCCACAACTTTAAAGCATTGTTGTGAAAATGTTTAAAAAATAGAGTTAGAGCAATCTGATTCTGGGGGAGTGACATTCAATATTTGTAATGGTACTCAAAGAAAGGTCTAAAAATTAAATATAATGAACAGAGAAACATTAAGGCACACAATAATAACACTTTTTCAAATCTACATACATGTATTTTAATTGCATAAAAGAAAAACTAAAAGACAAATCCAGTATACTATATATATATATATATATATATATATATATATATATATATATATATATATATATATATATATATATATATATATATATATATGCACTCACATATGAATTTATAATTTAAGGCGATTTTATCGTTACAGCGTCTTTACATTCTTTAGCTAAACGTGAGCCGCGTCTATTCCTGAATCATGTCTGTGTCAGGAAAGTGGGGTATGGGGATGATGTCCACGGGCGGCACATCCGGGTTCTCGGCGTTGAAGAAGAGCTGCGAGACCTGGAGCTGGAGGTACGACTGGCACCGTACGGGAAGCTTCTCCATCCGCATGGCGCAGCTCTCGAAGAACGCGCGCGCGGCGCTCTTGGGGCCAAGGTCGGGGTCAGCGGCAGGGTCCAGCAGGTCTTTCCTCTCGTGACCTTTCCAGATCAGGTCAGCGTTGGCCGAGTAGCGGGTCCTTTTCCTGTGGACATCCGCCTTGGTCGATCGGGGGGTGGGCTCCAACTCCGGCGACGACTGTCTACAAATGATGTCAATTCTAAGAGATAGACACACCGATATATATATATATATATATATATATATATATATATATATATATATATATATATATATATATATATATATATATATATTACAATGTTATACTATCGATGGATTGTGAAAGAGTGATAGAGAGTGGCATGTTGGCTGTATCTTTAGGGCTTAGTTTACACTGGCGCATGTGATTCAGTCAGTTTCTTTCAGGCATATGCCTGTGTGATTTATCTCCCCCCCCCCCATCCACAGAGCATGAAATAGAAAAATATAATTTATATAATATATATAAAATATAATTCAACCAGTGGCCATCTCCCCCCCCCTCCCTCCACCCACACGGAAATGTTAAAGTGCGCCCCTCCCTGGAAGAGATTTAAAAAGAAACCCTGGTCGCAAACAGGAGCGCATCCGATCAAGATGTGAGTAAGCCTAACGCAGCGGGCATATATTAGATGCCGTGTCCTGAGAAAAAAAAAGTGGCATAATAGGACTTGTCCTACAGGACGTGTGTAACAAGACGGAGGACGTGTCAAACGGAACGTACCTGGCCGAAGTGCTGGACGTGTCCTCCTCTTTGATGGACACGGTGTCGCTGTAGTCGTCCTCCGACATGAGCGGTTGTGTGCTGGGGTCGGACTGGAACCTACTAGAGACAACACGAGTTTAGGCTAATGGTTTAGACATTAACAACAACAACATACACACTGGAGACAACACGAGTTTAGGCTAATGGTTTAGACATTAACAACAACATACACACTGGAGACAACACGAGTTTAGGCTAATGATTTAGACATTAACAACAACATACACACTAGAGACAACACGAGTTTAGGCTAATGGTTTAGACATTAACAACAACATACACACTAGAGACAACACGAGTTTAGGCTAATGGTTTAGACATTAACAACAACATACACACTAGAGACAAGACGAGTTTAGGCTAATGGTTTAGACATTAACAACAACATACACACTGGAGACAACACGAGTTTTGGCTAATGGTTTAGACATTAACAACAACATACACACTGGAGACAACACGAGTTTAGGCTAATGGTTTAGACATTAACAAAAACAACATACACACTGGAGACAACACGAGTTTTGGCTAATGGTTTAGACATTAACAACAACATACACACTGGAGACAACACGAGTTTAGGCAAATGGTTTAGACATTAACAAAAACAACATACACACTGGAGACAACACGAGTTTTGGCTAATGGTTTAGACATTAACAACAACATACACACTAGAGACAACACGAGTTTAGGCAAATGGTTTAGACATTAACAACAACAACATACACACTGGAGACAACACGAGTTTAGGCAAATGGTTTAGACATTAACAACAACATACACACTGGAGACAACACGATTTTAGGCAAATGGTTTAGACATTAGACATTAGCAACAGCAACATACACACTGGAGACAACACGAGTTTAGGCTAATGGTTTAGACATTAACAACAACAAACACACTAGAGACAACACGAGTTTAGGCTAATGGTTTAGACATTAACAACAACATACACACTAGAGACAACACGAGTTTAGGCAAATGGTTTAGACATTAACAACAACATACACACTGGAGAAAACACGAGTTTAGGCAAATGGTTTAGACATTAACAACAACATACACACTGGAGACAACACGAGTTTAGGCAAATGGTTTAGACATTAACAAAAACAACATACACACTGGAGACAACACGAGTTTTGGCTAATGGTTTAGACATTAACAACAACATACACACTGGAGACAACACGAGTTTAGGCAAATGGTTTAGACATTAACAAAAACAACATACACACTGGAGACAACACGAGTTTTGGCTAATGGTTTAGACATTAACAACAACATACACACTGGAGATAACACGAGTTTAGGCAAATGGTTTAGACATTAACATCAACAACATACACACTGGAGACAACACGAGTTTAGGCAAATGGTTTAGACATTAGACATTAGCAACATACAAACTGGAGACAACACGAGTTTAGGCTAATAGTTTAGACATTAGACATTAGCAACATACACACTAGAGACAACACGAGTTTAGGCAAATGGTTTAGACATTAACAACAACATACACACTAGAGACAACACGAGTTTAGGCTAATGGTTTAGACATTAACAACAACATACACACTAGAGACAACACGAGTTTAGGCAAATGGTTTAGACATTAACAACAACATACACACTGGAGACAACACGAGTTTAGGCAAATGGTTTAGACATTAACAACAACATACACACTGGAGACAACACGAGTTTAGGCAAATGGTTTAGTTATTAACAACAACAACATACACACTGGAGACAACACGAGTTTAGGCAAATGGTTTAGACATTAACAACAACAACATACACAGTGGAGACAAAACGAATTTAGGCAAATGGTTTAGACATTAACAACAACAACATACACACTGGAGATAACACGAGTTTAGGCAAATGGTTTAGACATTAACAACAACATACACACTAGAGACAACACGAGTTTAGGCAAATGATTTAGACATTAACAACAACAACATACACACTAGAGACAACACGAGTTTAGGCAAATGGTTTAGACATTAACAACAACAACATACACACTAGAGACAACACGAGTTTAGGCAAATGGTTTAGACATTAGTTATTAGCAACATACACACTAGAGACAACACGAGTTTAGGCAAATGGTTTAGACATTAACAACAACAACATACACACTGGAGACAACACGAGTTTAGGCAAATGGTTTAGACATTAGACATTAGCAACATACACACTAGAGACAACACGAGTTTAGGCAAATGGTTTAGACATTAACAACAACAACATACACACTAGAGACAACACGAGTTTAGGCAAATGGTTTAGACATTAACAACAACATACACACTGGAGACAACACGAGTTTAGGCAAATGGTTTAGACATTAACAACAACATACACACTGGAGACAACACGAGTTTAGGCAAATGGTTTAGACATTAGACATTAGCAACAGCAACATACACACTGGAGACAACACGAGTTTAGGCTAATGGTTTAGACATTAACAACAACATACACACTAGAGACAACACGAGTTTAGGCAAATGGTTTAGACATTAACAACAACATACACACTAGAGACAACACGAGTTTAGGCAAATGGTTTAGACATTAACAACAACATACACACTGGAGACAACACGATTTTAGGCTAATGATTTAGACATTAGACATTAGCAACAGCAACATACACACTGGAGACAACACGAGTTTAGGCTAATGGTTTAGACATTAACAACAACATACACACTAGAGACAACACGAGTTTAGGCTAATGGTTTAGTTAGACATTAACAACAACATACACACTAGAGACAACACGAGTTTAGGCTAATGGTTTAGACATTAACAACAACATACACACTAGAGACAACACGAGTTTAGGCAAATGGTTTAGACATTAACAACAACATACACACTAGAGACAACACGAGTTTAGGCAAATGGTTTAGACATTAACAACAACATACACACTAGAGACAACACGAGTTTAGGCTAATGGTTTAGACATTAACAACAACATACACACTAGAGACAACACGAGTTTAGGCTAATGGTTTAGACATTAACAACAACATACACACTAGAGACAACACGAGTTTAGACAAATGGTTTAGACATTAACAACAACATACACACTAGAGACAACACGAGTTTAGGCAAATGGTTTAGACATTAACAACAACATACACACTAGAGACAACACGAGTTTAGGCTAATGGTTTAGACATTAACAACAACATACACACTGGAGACAACACGAGTTTAGGCAAATGGTTTAGACATTAACAACAACATACACACTAGAGACAACACGAGTTTAGGCTAATGGTTTAGACATTAGACATTAGCAACAGCAACATAGACATTTGAGACGTTTAACCAATGCCCTTACATCCTATACCTAAGCACTGAAAAAAAATCTTATTATTGTACAGTCAACAAAAAAAAAGCACGTCAACATACCGATTTAAAGAAAAGCAATACGAACACAGCAAAACACCAACACACAAAAATCACCAACACTCCAAAACACAAACACTTATGAACACATTCAATGCACCAAAACTTCATAGCACAACGAAAAATGCGAACACACCAGTACCGTAACACACCAAAATTACGAACCCACCCAAATACGAACTAACCAAAAACACCAACACACCAAATTACGAACACGCCAAACACCTACACAAACAAACACAAACACACACCAACACACCAAACACCAGCACACCAAAATACGAACACACCAAACACACCAAAATACGAACACACCAATCATCAACACACCAGCACACCAAAACACGAACACACCAAACACGAACACATCAAACACCAACACACCAACACACCCATACACTTACGCGGTGTCGTCAATGAACGGTTCCAGAAAAGACATAGTGTCCATAAAGCGCCAGTTCTTGACCGCTCGCCCACTCAACAGGATACCTTTCTTCTTCTTGACATACGTGTCCCTGAGGTTCCTCCATTTTTTCTTCCACTCACACCCTGGGATACAAGCACTGTGGTATTAACTTAATCATGTGGTAAGGAAAATATCATCATCATTATAGGGCAGATGAAGTAGAGTTCATCTGCTTCAGAGACCTCGGCATATGAAGGGACAGTTAGGTACCCATCAGAGCTGGGTGGACTAGGGGACGTTCCAATGATTTGAACCTGGATTTGAACCTTAATTTTCGAAAATATAAAAAGTTTCTAATCCTTTTGCTTATTCTATTTTTGTTTGCATAAAGCTAAGTGGTTTTATACAGTTAGTTATTTTCTTTCGCGGGTGGTCAAGCGCGACTGTGGTACTACCTTAGAATACATGAAATATAAGCCAACATGTAACAAAACGAGATTATAAAATGTATTACATTCAACTTTTAATCTCTACCGTAGTCATGGGTGTTGGAACATAAATAGAACAACACACTACACATTGGTGACTGGAGATCAATCAGTTAGAAACAATAACATGGTATTGTTGGTTTAAGGTTATAGTCAAAACGACATCAGAGCGTATTTTGGATATAATTTTACTATACCCTATATGTTAACCCGGACCTTAAAACGTATACCATATACCTTAGGAGTAGCCAGATGCTCATCCTAGTCTTTACACTACCAGTAACGGCGATAAGTAAAATCGTCTTTGTCGAATATTACTTTTCAGATTAAGACTACAAAACCGGTGACATCGCTACGACGTGTAATCTTTGCTAGAAGTATAACAGCATTTGGGATATAAGGTAATCTATTGTCTTTATGAAATCATTCATTTTTTTTTTTCGATTCTTATACAAACTTAGGTAAATTCTTATCAGAATTCGGATTATAAAAACGGTACTTGAAGGGAAAACATGAACATCTGAACGAAGTTTACTTCCCTCATTGGAGTACGCAGGATTTTGTCATAGGAAGGGTTGACTTTTTATTTCACTATATTTGATTATGCCATAACAATTAAAGCAGAGGTCTCGACGTCAGGACGAACCGTGTGGGTTTTGGCCGCGTGGATCAAGCTAGGTTCTCACACCTGACAAATAAGCAGGGGGTTCGAACCTGACAAATAAGCAGGGGTTCAAAACTGGATAATATGGGTTAGGAAGCTCATACTAATATTCGATCAGAAAGCGACCAGTAGCCACGGAATGAAGGTCTATTAAACTAGTGTCATTTCTACGACCAAGATTCAGGTGGGATGTTGTGAAATACTAGAACAGACGTAGACTCCTCTCAAGCCACCCCCCCCCATCTGGCCATGAGGGGAGCGGCTTGTACTTGATCTGAACCCCCAATAATCTAGCGATCCCTAACAGGGATGGACTGGGCACTGCTGACAGGTGTGTCGACTATTCTTTTATTCAGTGGCACTTGGTCTAGGAATGAACAACTCGATACAGGAAGAAGAAATAACATCTATTTTTTTTGGTCTTGTGTCGCTTCAATGGAAAAATGAGGGATAGAGTTTAAAGTTAGGGTCATTGATATGATAGTGATACTCTTTTAAGCTCACGCATGATTATATGAATCCCAGTTAAGTAAAGAACCCATTACGGTCTATGTTGCAGATGAAGTAGAGTTCACCTGTTTCAATGACCTCGGATAGTGTGGTCTGCACTGTGCCCACCCGCCTTTACTTTTCATATCGTAAGTTATGTACCCATCAGAGCTGGGTGGACTCAGTGACGTACTGCAGCCTCGAGCCTTGGATCCGAACTCGAGACTTTTGGGTTACCATTCGACCACGCGGCTCATAGCAAACTATAACAATATCACGACTTGATTTGTCGGGTGTCTAATCAACAACGACCCCCCCCCTCCTCAAACCCAACCAGCCACTCACCGTCCATATTGCTCCTGCCCATCTCTATAGCAATGCCCGACCAGATACCCTGGATAAACTGCACGTCCTTATGCTCATGGCACGTCGCGTCGTACAGCGCATGGTTCTGTCTGACCAGCTCGATTAGTTTCTCGTTCTCTTCCAAGGACAGCGGATTCTTACACCGTCCAAGAATCGAGTGAGACATTTAAAGAACAATGACTAAATTACCCTTAGATCAAGATCTAGGTAGAGTAGGCCTTTTTGTGATTGTTTAAAAAGTAAATTTCGTCGAACGTATGACCCCTTGCGTGTTAGGTTGCCACAGGAAGATGCTGTAACGTAGCACACGACAAAAAACGGTGCGGATCCGGTTAGGCATACTCCGCTCCGAACCGGTGTTTAACAGTACGCTCCGCAAAGATCCACACTCGCGCATTTCCGGTGCGCACCACCTAGCCTGCACGCGATCCGGACACTTAGCATTCTACTAATTCAGTGTTGAAAAAAAAAAGTTCTCTGTATTGTGATAAGCATAAATTAGTCAATTAGAGGCTTTGTTATTTAAATAAGTAGATCAACGCGATATAGATGAGCATTTTGGAGAGTTGTCGTAGAGCCAGTTACTGTAGTCTAGTCAGTTACTTCTTTATATTCCAAGGTAGTGTCTCGTGTTCCGTGTTTCTTTCAGACATTTTATCCGGTTGGGAAGGTGGGGAGGGGGGGGGGGGCGCACTGCTAAAAGTATCTATTTTCATTATAAATTCTATTTTCTGTGGGAAGGGGGAGGAACGACGATATGCCTGAAAGAAACACTGGTCCCGTGGTGTTTTATAGGGTTTGTTGTTGCCTGCGTCGCCGTTACGGTTAGGATTAATTTTAGAGTGAGTGCAACGGTTATGATCAGAGCTACGGTTGGAGTTAAACTCATTTCAAGGCTGTGATCGGGGTTAATGTTAAGCGTATCTTTAGTGAAGCAACCCCTGCAATAGTAACTCGGCTGCTGCCCAATTCGACAAAGTAAAGAACCGACTAAGCTTAAATCTTTATAACACTGTGGTAGACAGTAAATTGAGTAATGCTGATACACTTACATTAATCCTAATTCAGTGGTTCTTTACTTGGGTTCAATCGAACCCCAGGGGTTCGGTGAGTCGGCCTCCGAAGTCAAGACAGGCACCCGACTTATATGATTCATGATCGGATTTTGTCAGTGCGGACGATCTGTAGAAATATTAAGAAAGGTTCGGCTAATGCGCATATGAAACTGGTGGGGTTCGGCAACTTAAAAATGGTTAAGAACCACTGACCTTATTATATTATGAGAAACAATAAACTGTTTTTAACCTTAAAACAGGGTTAAGGGATGATTAATGGATTGATTGATTGGTACTGCTATAAATAGTTGTAGTGGACTGATATCTCAAGAACTATCTGGGCGGGGTTTCTGAACTGGTTGAGTGTATGGGGGAGGGGGGGGGGGGGCTGAGCCTGGTAATCTGCCAGATTTTATAAAGTCCATTTAACTATTCATATATTTATATTTGGGTTAAGATTAAGTCTTATAAAGGATTTAAGTATGTATTAGGTTTATGGCAAGGTTCAGGGCAACGGGTTCGATTAAGATTGGTTTTAAAGAGTTATTGTAAGTCTTGAGCTCGGGTTAGTGTTAAGGTTTGATTTTGGTGTTGGTCGATACTGGAGATAGTACCCAATATGATATTTGTTCATTTAGAAGTCATTCGGGGTTCAGGGTTTAGTTTTGTTAAGGTTATGGCTATAATAATAATTGTTCGGCTTAGGGTTAAATTATCTCACGTTAAGTAAATAATGGGATAATACCTCCAAGCAGTGGCGTAGCGAGGTCGGGTGTCACCCGGTGCGGCACTTAATGGTGTCACCCCCCCCCCCCCAGAGGCATAGAGACCCTTCCAGGGACAAACTTTCAAACTTTCGATTTTCACCCCCCCCCCCCCCCCCTCAAACTTTCGATTTGCACCCCCCTCGAGTTTTTCTCTATATATTTTGCTATTTTTTGCCTTGGTGTCACCCCCCTAAATGGTGTCACCCGGTGCGGTCCGCACCCCACACCGCCCCCCCCCCCCTCGCTACGCCCCTGCCTCCAAGGCCTCATACACTGTCAATACCGCACGCAATTCAACCTTTATCAAAACCACGTGTTAGAAAGCAACAAAATAACACCAAGATATAATAAAAACACATCCTCCTTTCAGTACTGTGATTTACGATAGTTTTGTCGAAACCGGGAATTCCCTTAATACGATTGTACTCTCAATCGGATTTTCTGTTCAGAGTAGAGTTGTTTACAGCTTATCAATAATTTATTCTAAGATTAAGATCTTTCTTTAGCTTTTAATTTTACCTCCTTTAATATTATGCATGCACGTTTTAAAATGATTTACGGCTTATTTTGTTTTTAGTAGCGAAACACATGTAGCCGTGCCGGGACGCAGCCTACTGACCTATATTTTGTCATGCGGGAAAACGTCATTTATTCTATTTTTAACTTTGGGATTTTCTCCTTTAAAAAAAGATGTTTCTTTACGAAGGGATTTGGTCTAAAAAAATGTCCTTAAATATAATGGTGTCCTTGTTTAAATACACATTTTATCCGTTTTAGTTTTAAGGATGGAAGGAATATCTCATTCCTTCCGCTTTTCGAAATTGTTCTCTAAAAATACCGGTACAAAATTTGAAATAAATACATTAATTAGATTAATTAAATTTGCTACTTATTTTGTAAATTGACATCTAGCTATTTAAGACGATCTTCAACCTCTCCGTCTCTATATTGTGGTCCACTGTCTAAAAAAAGCCAGACCTCCCCCTCCTCCCTTTTAACCACTACACACAAGCCTCCAACATGACATTATAAAATGTTACCATACCTTACAAAGATACCACTTAGCTGGAATGAAAACAAACATTCGTTTTATTTTCAAGAAATACTATAAACAAAAACCCGCAATTTAATGGGGTTTTTTTTTTTTACTTCCACGCCTTCTCCGTTCGTCGATTATCATCACAACAGTCCATGACCGACCGCATCCATTGGCGCGTGACCTCTTTTATCCCCTTCCTTCCCCACTGCCGTTAGATATTCAGTGGTTATAGCCCATATAGATCGCCTGTCATTCCCCCCCCCCCCCCCCCACCACCACCCACCATCATGACCAGTGCTTACCGGTTAGGTTTACTGACCCGCTCAGTTCGCTTTTAACCTCTGCTTGACCCCGTGTGACCGCATCTCGATCACGCGACACGCCCACAACAACAGCACGAAGACAAAATGCTGCGTTGGTGTTGGGGGGGGGGGGGGGGGGTTGTGTAGTAAGTGTGTACTTAATCGTTCTTAAATTTTATATTTGAAGGGGGTTTTCCTCCTAAATAATTAAGTATTATGTGTAGCGTTAACATGTTATGCGCTATCATATGACCCATTGACTCCGACTTGTTTTTTTTTTTGTTGATTTGCTTCCATAATATCTGTCCATCCACGGCAGTAGTTGTTGGATTTTGTTTTTTTCTTCTCTCCTCGATGGGTTGCTGTCCTTAGTTAAAGAGACTTGCTTACCTGGGGGTTTGAACTCGGGACTTTGGGGGGTTACTAAGATCACATGGGTTTCTTATGGGGTAGGGCATGATACAGGAATTGATATTGGCACATGTATGTTATTCATAAAACAAAAATTACTATTTAAAACAATGTTGATTCACACAGTACCACGGAATACATTCACACGCACGCAAACAAGAAGAAATGTACACCTTTTTATCTTATTCATCTGTCTGATTTTTACATAACATAAACTTAATGATGGTATTACAATAAGTCATAGGATGATCAAAATTGTTAGTTCCCATAAGGAAATTGTGGATAGCAGGACACTAACAGGGTGTGATAGACGGCAGACGGCGAACTTTTCTTTTATCAACGCATGCTGGGTACGCTCTTTCGCTGAGTGTGCTCTACGGCTTTCTGCGTCTTGGATTCTATTCTTCGAGTCCTCTAGCACTTAAACGCCCCGGACATTTCGAAGACTGCAAGTCCGTGTGCTCTTCCTGAAACTAAACAAATCTGTAACACTTATAAATAGCTACTCGGGTAAACCCGATTTGAAATCAAATCGTAGCATTTTTCCTTTCCCGGAAAGACCAATACGGATTTCGTGACCTGATTTCCGATTCTAAGCATTTTAAAAAATAAAAAAATAGACACTAAGAGATTATCTTCGCGTGAAACCGAAGTTAAAATAGAACTGCATTACTTTGAGCGTACGATAAAAACCCACTCAATAACGATTTCGTTTCGTTAACTATTTGTAGAAACCCACCACTGCATCGCGCAAAGGAAAAGCGATGCTAAACCTAACATACACCTTATATCATTTTCAAGGCTGTTTTAAATGTGTAGGTATGTAGCTGACCCAGAGCGTTTAAGTATACGAAGCCATAGCTTAAATGTAAACAAAAATCAGTATGCTTACTTTAACCTTTAATTTGCCTTTATTCAACTTAAATTTTTGTTATACTAAACAAAAACAAAAAATTCTCTTCACTTTTTTAAAACTCTGTGTGGATGATATGTCATGTATAACATCCTTCCATGCTTTTCTGTGCTATTTTTCCCATTTCGTTTCCTATTTTTTCTCAATACTTTTCATGTCTTTTTTTTAAGAATATCTCTGTGCCAGGTGTTTTGTTTCCACCTTTTTCTTGACCATTGTGGATTACATGATAGTTATATTGTTGATATGCCTTGTTAGGTAATACCTGTTTACGATTTCATCAACTTGCACTTTGTTGTTAGAGTTTCTAGTCCCACTTGTATTTGATGATAAAACTACACACTGTTAATACACAAATCACCCATTGGTACCCTAAAACGGAAAATTACCTCTATCTTCTTGAGTTAGGTCTCGGCATATATAAAAATATGCCATAAACAAGAATGTTAACGAATGTTAAGGTTTGACAGTCACCTTTACCCCCCCCCCCCTCCCATTATATTGTGAATGACTTCCCCTGTATTTATTTGCCCGGATGTCAGGCCTAGGATCCTTAGTTATGTTGAAGTGATTAATTGTCTCTTATTTCAGGCTAGTTCTAGCTAATTAACGAGTGGACTCTTATTTCACGTGAATATATTAATTAGTGTCCCCTTATTTTAAGTGAATTCACCAATTAACGGGCCCACTGTTCAATTGAGTTTATCGATCGTCTTAGCCATCTATAAATAAACACGATAGGCTTATGTCACGAAGGCCTGTATCCAACATCTGTTTGACTAATCTGTTTGACTAATATCCTGGTTCGCCCACCGAG